CGAACGCACCACCAAATCTATCACCATGGAAACGTCACCATCATCATCCGCCCTTATGATGATGTCACCACCTCTGGGCACTCTCAGGCTGGGAATGGGCTCGGCTACAGGTCCTGGTCGTGTCAACATGGCCCTCTGGCACCCTGGCCCTCTGGCACTCTTGTAGTCTGGTAGTCTGGCACGGGAGAGAGGTTAGAGTGGGGGGAAGGAGGGGAGTGGGGGTAGGGGGTACGGGGAGGGGGGAGGAATAGGGTCGTGTCGGGAAGGAAGAAAACGAGTTTGTCTTGTCTGTCTTGTCTGTCTGTCTGTTTGTCTGTCTTGTCTGTTTTGTCTGTCTGTTTGTCTGTCTTGTCTGTCTGTTTGTCTGTCTTGTCTGTCTGTCAGTCTGTCTGTTTGTCTGTCTTGTCTGTCTGTTTGTCGGCTGGTCTGTTTGTCTATTTGTCTGTTTGTTTTTTTGTCTGTTTGTCGTTGGACTCTGTTTTTTTTTTGTCTTTGTTTACTTTCTTTTGCTTCTTTATTGTTTGTTTGTTTGTTTGTTTATTTTTGTTGCTGTTGTTCTAGTGGGTTTGTCTGTTTCCCTGGGGGTTTCTTTTGATCTGTTTGTCTATCTACTATTTGTCTGTGTTTGTTTTGTCAGTTCAGTTAGACAGTGAGTTAGTTCACAGTCAGTCAGCTTGTTAGACAGTCAGTTAGTCAGTCAGAAGGATAGGGAGTCAGTCAATCAATCAGACAGTCAGTCAGAGAGTCAGACAGTCAGTCAGTCAATCAATCAGTCAGTCAGTCAGTCAACAAGTCGGTCAGTCAGTCAGTCAACAACTCAATCAGTCAGTCAGTCAGTCAACAACTCAGTCAGTTAGTCCGTCAGTCAGTAAGTCAGACAATCAGTCAATCAGCCTCTCTGTCTGTACATCTTTCTCCTTTCTTATTCTCTCTTCCTCTCCTCCCTCACGTATGCATCACTTTCATCATAAATACTTGCGTATTCCCATCTTCTTTTCCTGCTTTCCTCGTTCCCTTCACATATTTCTCCTCAGTTCTCCCACTTTCCCCTCATTTCTCTTTCCCCTCATTTCTGACCCCTCATTTCTGTCTTCTCATTCTTCCCCCATCTCTCTCACCTCATTTCTTTCCCTAGCTATCTCTCTCCCTCATTTCCCCCCCCCCATCTCTCTCCCCTCCTATCTCTGTCCCCTTTTTTCTCCCCCCTCTCTCCCTTCTTTTCTCCCCTCCCCCAATCCTCTTCCCTCTTTTCTCCCTCCCCATCTCGCTTCCCTCTTTTCTCCCTCCCACCATCCTTCTCCCATCATTTCTCCTTCCCCATCTCTCCCCCTTCATTTCTCCCTCCCATCCCTCTCCCCTCATTTCTCCCTTCCCATCTCTCTCCCCTCATTTCTCCTCCCTATCTCTCTCCCCTCATTTCTCCCTCCCTATCACTCTCCCCTCATTTCTCCCTTCCCATCCCTCTCCCCTTATTTCTCCCTTCCCATCTCTCTCCCCTCATTTCTCCCTTCCCATCTCTCTCCCCTCATTTCTCCCTTCCCATCTCTCTCCCCTCATTTCTCCTTCCCTATCTCTCTCCCCTCATTTCTCCCTCCCCATCTCTCTCCCCTCATTTCTCCCTTCCCATCTCTCTCCCCTCATTTCTCCCTCCCTATCTCTCTCCCCTCTTTTCTCCCTCCCTATCTCTCTCCCCTCTTTTCTCCCTTCTCCATCTCTCTCCCCTCATTTCTCCCTCCCTATCACTCTCCCCTCATTTCTCCCTTCCCATCCCTCTCCCCTTATTTCTCCCTCCCTATCTCTCTCCCCTCTTTTCTCCCCCCTATCTCTCTCCCCTCTTTTCTCCCTTCCCATCTCTCTCCCCTCATTTCTCCCTCCCTATCTCTCTCCCCTCATTTCTCCTTCCCCATCTCTCTCCCCTCATTTCTCCCTTCCCATCCCTCTCCCCTTATTTCTCCCTCCCTATCTCTCTCCCCCTCTTTTCTCCCCCCCATCCCCCTCCCCTCATTTCTCCCCCCCCCCATCCTTCTCCCCTCATTTTTCCCTGTATTTATCGTGTCTCCTCCTTCCCTCAGTAAGCCTCATGTGATGCTTCATTTACAGCCAACGGTCTTCTCGATTCCCCTCTTATTCTCTTACTTAGCTTATCTCTCTCTCTTCCCCTTTTCCCCTCTTCTCCTCTCTCCTCTTCTTTCTTTTTTTTTCCCTGGCACGTTCTTTCCCTCTGCCTATCTACCGTCTCTCTTTCCTCCTCTTCCTCTTTTTAAAATTTTCTACTCTCTCTCTCTCTCTCTCTGTTATGTTCTCTCTCTCTCTCTTGTTCAAAACATCAAGGAACGTTGCCTTGAGCGTTTAAGACCATTGCAATACATTAGTAACAGATATGTAGGTGCCTCCCTGAGAGTCCTAAGGTTGATGTATATCTCCCTTGTTAGGTCCATGATAGACTATGCAAGCCCAGTTCTTAGTATGCTGCCACCGAGTGCCCTCAAACCCCTTGAAGTTTTACAGAATAAGGCCATGAGAATTATACTTGGATGCCCAATGACCGCTAAAGTTCTCGTCATGAGGAAAGAGTTAGACCTCCCTTCTATTCACAGTCGTGTCATCCAAGTTAACACCATACTCGGCATTAGGCTCCTGCAGCTTCAACCCAGACCACAAATCTCCAGTATCCTATCAAATGAGATAAATTATAGAGTCAGGCATGTCCGGCCTCGATACTCCCAATCTCATACAGTCCAACTTAGAATGGAAAACTAAAACTGCTCATACTATCATGTTCTTCAATGTATGGAACAACGAAGCTATTAATATTCCAGATACAGTACTTACTGCTCCTTGGCACAGAACTCATGTACGTGCTCATATTGATAAACTAATAGGGTCTAAATCTATGGCTTCAAAAACGGAACTAAAAGCTCACTACTTGGAATATATAGATGGCATTCTACATCCTCCTCATGGTACGCCCCCACTTGCAATCTACTGTGATGCCTCCACTGGTCCTCATGGGACAACAGGGATTGGTGTGCTAATTCCTGATATAGACCTTGAAGAAAGTGAGTGCATCTCCAACTGGGCAAGCACAACTGATGCCGAGTCAGTAGCTATATATCATGCCATTAAGAAAGGTAGTGAACAGCAGCGAAACCTGGCTGTCTTTACAGACAGCCAAGGCGCTCTTAACAGGCTTACTGCATTTACTCCAGAAAACATGGTAACTAAGAATATCCTTCACCAAATTTCTAAGTTATCAGAACGGGGTACCCAAGTGTCACTATACTGGATACCTTCTCATATAGGAATATCACTATGTGACAGGGCTGATCAATTAGCCAGGTTAGCACTTTCCCATGAAGATCCATACTATGTAATACCGCTATCTCTCAATCAAATGAAAAAACGAGTTATCAACTGTCTTAGAGATTATGAGGATCAGGTATGGACCAATGAAAAAATGAAAAAAGACGGACATGGTACTATCTGGCACTACGAGAGTATTGTTGGGACATCAAATTTAGACAAGCCCTATAAAGTCTATTACGGGACTGTCTCGGAGACAACAGGTTACATTAACTAGGCTACGCATAGGATATCAGTACACTATACAATATGTACAGGATGCAGTTTTGGATGCAAAACCTGCTTCATATCACCATTGCAAACTGTGCAAGGAACCCAAGTCGCATAATCTCACTCATTACTTACTCTGCTGCATAAAGACTGCATCCTATCGATCAAATAGTACTGTTCACAAAGATCGCTTGTAGATTATATTAACTTTATTATAGACACCTGGTTCTTTTCTTTGCATGATTTAGTGATGTAAAAGGTTTTTTTACCAGTCAATTTATTTTAATATTGGATAATGAACATCCCTTCAGGCATGTATGTAACACTACTGTTTGACCAATGGCCCTCTACACAAATCGAAGCACAGCCAGTTTTGGATAGATGCTTTGGTATCTTACCCTGGCTTTTTTGCAGGGCATGTCCACTGTTTCTGTAAATGAAATGTTTCTCAAATCAAATCAAATCTCTCTCTCACCTCTCTCTCTCGAACTCATCTCTCTCTCGTCGCACACATCTCTTCTCTCTCTTTCTCTCTCTCTCTCTCTATCCTTCCGTTCCCTTTATTCTCTCTCTTTCCTCTCTTCTCCAATTAGACTTTTTTTTCTCCTTTCTTTCACTTCTTTTTCCACTGTTTTCTCCATTTCTCTGCTTCCCTTTCCATCCCTCTCCCACTCCCGCTCTCTCTTTTTCTCTCCCTTCTCCTCTCTCTCGACACTGTTCCTCTTACTCGTTTTCTGTCTCCCTCTTCTGTTCTTCTTCTCTTCTCTTCCCTTCCCATTTCTAATCCTTTCCTCTCATTCTTTCCCTCATCCCTTTCTTTACTCCCTTCCTCTTTCCTGTCCTCTCCTCTCTCGTTTCCCTTTCCTCCTCTCTCCCTTTCCTCTTGCTTATCTGCCTATTCCCTGTCGCTTCCCTCCCCTTGTCCTCTCCCTTCTCTCTCTCCTCTCATTCTCCTGATGCCCTGTCCTCTCCCTTCTCTCTCTCCTCTATTCTCTGATTCCCTGTCCTCTCCCTTCTCCCTTCTCTCTCTCCTCTATTCTCTGATTCCCTGTCCTCTCCCTTCTCTCTCTCCTCTATTCTCTGATTCCCTGTCCTCTCCCCTCTCCTTCCCCTATCCTCTCACTCCTCTGTCTCTCCCCTCTCACCCCCTTTCAGTCCTCTGTTTTTGTCCCCCCCCCCCCCTTTCCAGCTCTCATCATCTTCCTTCCCTCTCCCCAAACTCTCCTTTTCTGTCTCTCCCAACTCACTCTCCTGGCCCTCGCCCCTCTCTCTTCTCACTTTTTCTGTCCTCCTTCTCCCTCCCCCTCGCACCTTCTCTCTTCCCTCCTCACTCGTCCCTCGCCCCCTCTCACTCCTCTTGTCCTCTCTCCTCTCAACTCCTTCTGTCCTCTTCCCTCTCCCCTCTCACTCTTCCCTCTCCCCTCTCCCTCTTCCCTCTCCCCTCTCACTCTCCCTCTCACTCCTCTCCCCTCTCCCCACTCACTCCTCCCCTCTCACTCCTCACCCCTCTCACTCTCCCTCACCTCCCCTCACAATCCTCTATCCTCATCTCCTCTCCCCTCCACTTTCCCCTCTCACTTCTCAACCCTCTTCGCACTCACT